AAACCATAAATGAATTCTCTTCAGCTAGCACTGGGGTACATTGCGCAAATCAGATCTGCTTGTCCCTTCTGCCCCCAAAAGATGGGCGGGGTCTGCACTTCTCTCCCTTTTCCTCTTTGCAGCCAAGAGCTGTCAACATCCAGCTGTGGCTTTGCGCTCAGCTGCCACTCAGCCTGTTGGAGTTGAAAGGTCAGATGTCATCTGAGATTGACAGCCTGGCTTATCAGCAGCTCTTCGGTCTTCAGAGGGCTGGAGGGTAGCTGTCAGAGGGCTTAGGAAAGGACGAGGTGGGAATTCCCTCTCTTCAATAAAGTCCACCCTTGGTCAGGTACTTCTGGAGGGAGAATAGCAGATTCTGTTCCAGAAACTTTGTAGCTGGTGGTTAAGATCCTAGTGCAAACAGAAGCAGGTAGGAGAATGAGGGGCGATTGTCAGGTAGACAGAAAGTGGGGCAGAGGGTGATGAAGGGGAAGGAGCCCCATACCAGATTTCAGAGAGTGGCAGCATGTTGACAGACCCATCTGGATTTGGTAGGGCACTTGGTTTTGCAAGCAAATGCAGGAAAACCTTTATCCACATATTTGCAATGTTGGACTGAAGTGGAAATGGGTTATTTTCTGGAAGCACCCCATTTCTTTGAGCCTAACTTCTCCAGTCATGTAATTCCGGTAGGGCCTACCTTTCACAGTACCTCACCCTCGTAGCCATATGACCCAGGCCCAGCCAATCAGAGTGCCCCCTCTCTATGGGATGAGCCAGTCACTTCTTGGGCAGGGGGCATGGCAGGGAAGATTCGCAGTGCTGGAAGAACCTGTTCTGGGGTTGCTGGCAGCCTGCTTCCCGTGCACATTGAGAACCCACTTGCAACAGAAGAGAAGGAAAACTCAGTCTGTGAGCATGTGGGTGGCAGCATTTAGGGCCTAGATTGATTGTGCCAACACTAGATCCACTCCTTCCTTTCGAGTGAGGTAAATCAGTAAACCATCTCCTGTTGCTTATTGTAGTTTGAGTTCCATTCCTGCCACTTGCCACCACAAAAGCCCTGACTATTATAGAGGATATTTGGATACAGAAAAGGCCCTGCAGTTTGTGAAAAGACAGGCTAATGCAGAGTAAGTGTAGACTAGTACGAAAAGTAAACCAAATGTTTAGGTTAAGTCTTTTCTGACCCTTGAGAAGCACTCGTCATCCTACTACTCACTGATAGGCTGGTAACGAATCCTTCTCCACTCATCCGGGTGGGTTCTTTAATGAGTTTAATGTTCAGACTGAAGGCACTGCTGTGTGTCAGAGGAGTGAAAGAAAGAAGCCCTTACACACGAAAAGGCTGCACAGACATTCAGTGGACGAGCACCGTTCTGCCACCAGGGGAAGTCCAGTTTCTCTGCCAGGTCCTGGGATTTGAAATGGAGTTCCCTGGTTAGGGGATGACCCATTTCAGCCAGAGCCTTCCGTTCAACTCTAGTGGGGGTCTGACTAGGATCTTCTCTAGAAGGAGGTGGCCTTGTGCCTTGGACCATTTTTCTGTCCCTGCTCCAAGAGGACATTACTAAACACTGCCCATAGCCTGGGGCAGCCTGCCTTCAAACACACCATCTGTCATCCAGACCTTTCGCTCTTTCAGCCTGTCCTTCCCTATCACTTATTCTGAAATTGGGAACGTTTCCCAAGTCAACAGTTGCCCAGTCCACAGTGTTCTTCGCTCAGTGTTCCCACAGGAAGGACAGGGAACATGATGAATAAAACAGCAATCTTTGCTCCCTGCCCTGGTAAAGGGACTGTTTTGCCAGCCTACTATCACATACCACTCTTGTCTCCTGTCTGACTTCACATGGTGAAGATTGTCTAGAAGACGGGGCAGGAACTCAGATGATTCCCCACCCCCACAGATCTCTCTAGAAGCCTTGGAAGAAGGTTATATTTTTAACAAAACAAATTGCAAGTCAAGCCCATCCTCAACCACTTACTTGCTTTTGACCTTGGATAAATTCTATGTATCTACAAACTTCAGTTTTCTGCTCTATACAGCAGGGATAATAATACTGCAGTGTTTAAGGCTGGATTCAGCCGTGAGTGACAGAGCTCTGAATGGTGACTTAAAGCACTCATATAAAGAACTCCCAAGGCAGGCAGTCAGGCTGGTAAAATGAATATGTGAAATCATCACAGACCCAGGCTTCTTCAGTCTTCCTATGTTATCTTCCATTCCAAAGGTCACCTCATGGTCCAAGGTGGCTGCTGGAGCTCCAGCCAATATGTTCTAGACTTCAAAGAAGAGAAAATACATCATTCTGACATACCTTTTTAGGAGTCTTCTCAGAAGCCCACCACAAAACTTCTACTTGTATTTCATTGGCAAGATTTTAGTCACATGGCCATGTCTAGCTGCAAGGGAGCCTGGGAAAGGTACTTGTGGTAGATAATCTCTAATCTCTTCCTTCTGTTATTCACTCCCTTGTGTAATTCCCTCCCCTTGAGTGTGGGCTGGACCTAATAACTTTCTTCTAACCAATGGAATACAGCAAAAGTGATAGGATGTCACTTCTGAGATTAAGTTAAAGAGATGGTGGCTTCTTTCTTGGGCACCACCATCTCTGAGGAAAGTCAGCTGCCATGTTGTGAGCCACCATATGGAGGGGCCCACATGGCAAGGAATTGATGTCTCTGGCCAACAGCTAGTGAGGACCCGAGGCCCTCAGTCCAACAGCCTCATGAACTTGGAAGAATATCCTCCCCCAGTAAAACCTTCAGATGACTGCAGCTCTGGTGAACATTTTGACTGCAGTTTCTTGAGAGATGTGATCCAGAAGGCCCACAAAACTGATCCACAGAAACTGTGAGGTAATAACATTTGTCGTTTTCAGCTGCTAAGTTTTGAGTTTATTTGTTACACAGCAATAAGTAATATAGCAATTTTCCAGGCAGACACATTCCCAGAGTTCCATTAGTAAGAAGGAAGGGCGGGGTGGATATTGGGAGGCAACCAATAGTCGCTACCACCTACCTGCACCTGCCTCTCAGGGCTGTTGTGAAGATGAAACAAGGTAAGGCTATTAAGTGCCCACCTACAGTCTGCCAGCACCCAGAAAGTGCCAAAGGAGAGGTGGTTAGTGAAGGGCCACCATCTAGAGTCTACTTCCCAGGCTTCTCACCAAGTCCTTCTAGGAAACACAGCTGTGCTGTGTCTAACACGTGATTTTCCTCATCTTCCTTCTTCCCTTTTATAGTTCAAGACCCTCTCCCCACAAATCCAACCAGTAAAGTGAAACGCCTGCAAAACCAAAGATCCCCAGGCCAGCTGGTAGGCTCACAGAGTGGTAAGATTTAGCAGGAAAGGGGCTTAGAGCCCCTCTAATCCAGTCCTCCCTTTACGATGTGAACCAGACACTTGCTCAAGGTTATCCAGCCTCAAGGCAGAGGTAGGAGCTGGACCTCCTCTGGAGAGACACCCTGGTGCTCTGCTCTACCTCCCTCCCACACTGCTAGTGCTGAAGCCAGGATCTGGAGCATTTATAGAGTTCCTTATTTAAACAATTGCATTCGTTCAACCCAATTTTCTCTCCCTGAGAGAAGTCGAGGTCAGGTTTATGGGACACGAGGTGCTTTTTGAGTGAATGAGCATCATATTTCCTTCTGGTTTTCTTTTAGGCTTTTGGACACCTTTTCTTTTGTCTGTCTAAAGAGAACCGAAGTCCTTGGAGTGCCCCAAGAGCCTGTCCCTCGTGGGTGTAACTGGGAGAAAAACCTAGAGAGCGTTCCCCTGGGTCCCACGGTAATGTAATGCGTGCACCTAACCAAGGCAAGAATTGAGTACTCCCCTTCTTGTATCAGCACCCTTCCCCCAGGATGTAGGGATTTTGTCACCCTGGAAGAATGTGGACTCCCGAATCATTTCACATATAATGAAATCTCACTTTTTTAGAATGAGTGAGACCAGGGCATTTCAGTGAAAACAAATGTTCTAGGGAGAGAAAAAAAAAAATTAACGATAAGTCCTAAGACTTATTTTTCCCCCTTAATCTCCTTCGACAATGAGGGACGATACAAGGTGCCAGTGTTCTTGCTCCTTGTTTTTATTAGCAAACTAGGATATATGAGAACTTAATAAAATATTCACAGAAGGCTCAACTGCATCATTAAAAATCTTCTTTACCAGTCCTTTGAATTTCATAAAAGCGATTTATTTAAAATTAGTGAGAATAAGAGGAAATAGGTGCATACGTGGCATATTATTCTTACTTAACACTTGTGTTAACATGCTTTTATCAATTTTAAAAATTGACTCTGATACACGTTCAGCATGAAGTTGGAGAAGCTTGTCAGGGTCCTGCCTGTAAAATGCAGAGGATCACTGCCAGTGTGAAAGCTGCATGAGCAGAGACCGGTAGCTGGTGTGCCTGTGAGCACGGAACTTGAACAGTGCAGTGTGAACTGGAGGGCTAACGCATGAAGAGGCTGAGCACTCTGATTTAGAAAGTTGTTGCAGCGAAATGATGCACAGAGAGTTTGAACACCTTCTCTTTTCGGAAGGCAGAGCAGACTGAGCAGAATGCACTGTGTGAGTGTGTGGGCACCAGAGGCTTTGGGTGTGAGAAGAGTCTTAAGGAGGAAATTAATACTTTTGTTCTGATAAGGAGTAGAAACATTTATTAAGCAGTTGGCAGCTGGTTGTGTGTCCAGCTTAAGTCTTCACGATGAGTACTCGAGAACCATTTAGCTAATCAACAATTATGAACTGGTCCTTGGGTGACTGTTTATCTTGACACCATGCTCTGCCATTATATTCTCTATTAGGAATTTGATATGCTCACAAGACGCTGTGATTTGGCCGTTTACTAACAACTGGCTTCTTTCAGATAGTGTCATCCACAGGAAACATTGCTGGTGGGTTTTTGTGACCCTGGCATCAGTATTTAGCTGGGGGCAACTCCCTGGCACTTGCAAGACAGATGGTCATGTGCTTGCAGTGAACCATGCATATTCTCCTCTCTCTGTTTTCAGAATACGAGAGTCAGCCTCAGCTGGAAGGTAGCTGAGCTTTGGGTGGATGGCTGTCTTGGGCTGGACAGGTGCATCCAGGTAAGGGAAAACATGGTGATTCACCCTCGTTTGTTGGGAGGTCAGGGGTAGGGGCATCACAGGACTCACTGTGTGAAGCCACAGGGAAAACCCAGGCTCTGAAGAGATTTTCTAAGGAAAGGCACCAGCTGGGGGACAGTGGGAGGAAATGGGTAGCTACTGGACGTGGTTACTAAGAGCAACGACATACAGGAAGTGAGTAATGACAAAAGGAGGCTCCTTGGTCATCAAGTCAGTGGCCCAAGGAGGGATGTTAGTGATGGAACATTTCTGGGACTCACCAATACATCTTTACATTTTTCTCCTCAAACATTTGGAAGGAAACTTGATTTTTTTCCTGTTGCTTGCTCAGCACTCTAGGAGATTTTTCGTCCTAGGAGGACCTGCTGGTATCTTTCTAAACTAGGACTTCCCACCTGAAGCTTGTAAAGCGCTAGATGGGATCACAACAGCGATAATAAGAACAGGCAGTTATGAAGTCGTTCTGTGAGCCAGGGATGGTTCTAAGTGCTTGTCGTGGGTTTAATAGCTGGCTCCTGGCTGAGAACAGGCAGATGGGAGGGTCCAGAGGCTGGGCGGGGAGTAGCCAGCAGGCTTCCTGGTGAGATCCCCCAGCGTTAGTTACACAAATGAGTTTCACTCTACCAACGTGGGTTTTTTAAAATGTTACAATCCTTTAAAAAATGTTTTTACTTAAAATTTTTTCCAGTTTTATCAAATTATAATTGACATATAACATTATGTAAACCTAAGATATATGATGCATTGATGTAATATCCTTATGTATTGCAAAACGATTACCATGTGTTAGTTAACACCTGCAGTGCGCCACATCATTCCCATTTTTTTTTTTTTTTTTTTTTTGTGGTGAGAGGATTTAAGATCTACTTTCTTAGCAACTTTTAAGTATTGTACAGTGGTCCTTATCTGTGGTTTCACGTTCCTGGGTTTCAGTTACCCGTGGTCAACTTCAGTCCAGAAATATTAAATGGAAAATTCCAGAAATAACCATTTACAAGTTTTAAGTTTCGTGCCGTTCTGAGTAGCATGATGAAATCTCTCACCATCCCGCTCCATCCATTTCGGGATGTGAATCATCTCTTTGTAGGCGCTCCCCGCCTGTTAGTCACTTAGTAGCCGGCTCAATTAGCAGATCTACTGTCAGTATCGTGGTGCTCGTGTTCAAGGAGCCCTTATTTTACTCAATAATGGCCCCAGAGTGCAAAGTAGTGATGCTGGCAGTTCAGATATGCCAAAGAGAAGCCATAAAGTGCTTCCTTTAAGTGAAAAGGTGTGTATGTATATGAAAAAACATAGGATAGGGTTCGGCAGTATGGTTTCAGGTATCCATTGGGGGTCTTGGAACATATCCCCCATGGATAAGGCAGTAATACTGTATATAATACAATATTATTGTCTACAATCACCATGCTGCACATTAAATCCCAAGAACTTACTCATCTTATAACTGGACCAACATCTCCCCATTTCCCCCACCCCTGGCCCCTGGCAACCACCACTGTCTGTTTCTGTGAGTTCAGCTTTTTTTAGATTCCACATATAAATAATATCATACAGTATTATCTTTCTCCGTCTGACCTATTTCACTGAGCCTAATGCCCTCGTTTTATTCATGTTGTTCCAAATGACAGGATTTCCTTCTTTCTCATGGCTGAATAATATTTCATTATATATATATATATTTGTGTATACCAAATCTTCTTTATCCATTCCTCCATCAGCGAGCACTTAGGCTGTTTCTATATCTTGGCTATTGAAAATAATGCTGCAATAAACATGGCGGTGAAGATAGCTCTTCGAGACTGTGTTTTCATTTCCTTTGGCTATACACCCAGAACTGGATCATGTGGTAGATCTATTTTTAAGTGTTCGAGGAACCTCCATACTGTTTCCATAGTGGCTGTACCCATTTACACTCCCACCACCAGTGCACAGGATTCCCTTTTCTCCACATCTTGCCATACTTGTCTCGTCTTTTTGATGACAGCCACTCAAACAGGTGTGAGGTGATGTCTCATTGTGGTTTTGATTCGTATTTCTCTGATGATTAGTGATGCCGAACACCTTTTCATGTACCTATTAACCATTTGTATGTTTTCTTTGGAAAAATGTCTATTCAATTCCTATTTTTTAATTGAAATTTTTTTTACGGAGTTGTATGAGTTCCCTATATATTTTTGATATTAATCCCTTAGCAGATGTATCATTTGCAGATATTTTCTTCCATTCCATAGGCTGTCTTTTCATCCTATCACCTCTATTGCTGTGCAGAAGCTTTTTAATTCGATGTAGTCCCACTTATTATTTTGCTTGCTGCTTTTGGTGTCATAGCCAAAAAATTGTCTCCAAGACCAATATCATGGAGCTTTTCCCTTATGTTTTCTTTAGGAGTTTTTATGGTTTCAGTTCTTATGTTTAAATCTTTAATCCATTTTGAGTTAATTTTTGTGAGTGGTATAAGATAGGGGTACAATTTCATTCTTTTGCATGCAATTATCTAGTTTTCCCCGTGCCATTTATTGAAGAATTATCTTTTCCCCATTGAGTATTCTTGTCAAATATTAATTGACTGTATATGAGAGTGTTTGTTTCTTGGCCCTCAATTCTGTTCTATTGGTCTATGTGTCTCTTTTCGCCAGAACTTTAGTTTCGATTACTGTAGCTTCGTAGTATAGTTTGAAATCAGGAAGTGGTATGCTTCTAGCTTTGTTATTCTTTCTCAGGATGGCTTTGGCTTATTTGAAGGTCTTTTGTGGTTCCATACAAATTTTAGGATTGTTTTTTCTATTTCTGTGAAAGATGCCATTGGAATTGTGATAGGTATTGCATTGAATATATAGACAGCTTTGGATAATGTGGGCAAAATGACATTGAAATCAAATGGAATGTGTTCCATACTGGCCTCTCTACCCTTACTCCTCGGATTTGGGGGAAAGTCTCGGGGGCACGTGGGGTAAGAGCATGCGTGGAAGGGCCCTCCTGTCTTGACTCCACACTGGGACTGGGCTCTGGCTTTAAGCACCAGGAGCCTTTGCAGGCAGCGGCTCCACTGCTTGTGGGCCAGGCTTAGGGACCAGGGCCTTTCCCCATAGTAGGAGGCTCTGCCAAGCCCCAGGCCCCTTCCCAGTCTTGGGGGATTATTCCCAGACCTCCCTTTAGCATGTCCATTTCTATCTTTCCTCACCCCAAAATCCTTCCCTCCAGCATCCTTGAGTTTCTCTTCTTGATCTCACCTTTCTGGCTATGCACAGGGACTGAAATGCCTTGTCCCTGGCTATGCACAGGGACTGGCCTTGTCCCTTGACACTATAATTGTTCCTTGTCTTCCACTAAACAGGGAACAAACTTGTCTAGCCCAGTGCCTGCAACAAAGTCAGAAAAATGACCTTGGGAAAGTTGCCCAACCATACTGAACCTCAGTTTACATTCTGGGACTGAGGCCCAATGCCCTTTCATGCCATGTGTCAGTTCTCTTTCACTCGTCCCTGACGGAAACTCCAAGTAGCTTAAGAACAGAGAGTGCTGACTGACCCATGAAAAAAGTGCAGGCATAGATGTGGCTTCAGGAATCGCTGGATCCAGGTACTTATGTGTGGTGTCAGGAATCCCTCCCTGTGTCTCTCGAATCTAGTTTTCTCTGTGTTGGTTTCATTCAATGCAGGTTCCCTCCTTACTGTGGCAAGACGGCTGGCTGCTCAAGTTCTCAGCTTCCCGAGGGTAAGTTGCTGTAGAAGCCCAGGTTGAGTCTTTCTGGCGCCGACTGGGTCGTTATCCAGTCCTGAACCAATCCCTGTGTCAAGTAGGATGCATTGCTTTGATTGGCCAGGCCACCCTGAGTTAGCGATGGTGTCATTTCTACCCAAATCCTGTGAACCAAGAGTGGGTGCGGGGCGAGTCTGTAAAGGAAAATTCAGGCCCTGTTGTCAGGAAGAGGCGGGCAAGACACTGGTAGCACTGGGGTATCAAGTGTCACTGCACCATCCCTCCCCGTTGGCTCCTGCCCCCGCCACTGGCGAGCCTCCACCCACTGCTCTTCTTTCTCCTGCCCAGGTTCACCCGCCCTCACCCAGCACGGGCCTGGGGGTGGACAGGTGGCGAGTGGGTGAGGGAGTTTCCGCATTCAGGACCCTGCCCCTGCCTCAGGCGTGGTGCAAGTAGATTGGGGCGAGGGGACTCCACTGAGCTGGATAGTGTCTCCCCAAAATTCATGTCTACCCCAAACCTTATTTGGAAATAGGGTCTTTTGCAGATGTAATCAAGTTAAGATGAGGTCACGCTAGGTTAGGGTGGGCCCTAAATTTAATGACTGGTGCCCTTATAAGAAGAGGGAAGTTTGGACATAGATGCACATGGGGAGAGGTGCCATAGGATGACAGAGGCAGAGACTGGAGTGGTGCTACAAGCTGAGGAACCTAAGAATTGCTGGCAAACACTCAGAGCTGGAAGAGGCAAGAAAAGATATGTTCCCTAGAGCCTTCGCGGGGAGCACGGCCCTGCTAACACCTTGAGTTTGGACTTCCAGCCCTCGGCGTGGGTTAGAATAAATCCCTGTTGTTTTAAGGCCCCTGGTTTGTGATACTTTCTACAGTAGCCCTAGGACGCCAACACAGGGCCTTCCTACACACCAGCTCTTGTTCCACCCCCAAAGGACTTCAAATGGGAGACTGGCCCCTTTCCAGGAGGAGAAGAAATTCTCAGCTGATGATTTTAGCCAAAAAGACCACATTATGTTTGCAGCTGGGGCCACTTCAAAGAGAAGGCAGCATGTCATCTCCCCGGGGACAGCAGTGGCCAGCATCTTCCACATCCCCCCGCTGAGCCCTCCCCAGCTGCTCCAAGCCCACAACAGACTTAAAGCCCAGAGAGAACTCTGCTTAGACAGTGGCTTTGACAGCTAGGGTGACAAAATGTTCCCGTGGATGGGGGACTGTTCCGTTTTAGCACTAAAAGCCCTGCATCCCAGGAACCCCTTGATACTGAGCAAGCCAGAAGGGTCAGCCCCGCTCGCTAGGGCTGAAGTTGGTTATCTCTGGGCAGAGAGAGGACAGGCTGTGTGACCCCTACCCCCATGTACCCACAGGTAGTTTTTAAAGCCGATTTTTGCCTGATGCTTTATAAAATATCCAGGCCTCATAACATACTTGTAGGAGTGTGCTGCACTTGTCCCCACTTTTCAAGCTGAGGCCCTGGGAGAGAGGAAGCCTCAGGTGTGTAGACAGCATGTTCTGTGCCAGCTGCATCAGCGTGGCCAAGTGGCTTCCAATTCTGTGCCTTCCTCACTGCCTGGGACTCGCCCTGGGGCAGGTGCTGACTCCTAGATCCCCTCTGCACCTACGGGAACTCTGTCTCCTGTGGTTGGGGTGGCACCTTCCCTTAACATCTCCCTGACCTGGACCTTGCTTGTGGTACCACCTGAAGCTCTCGAGTGGCCAGCATAGCAGCGAGGAGGCTCATTGCTTGGGTTTGAATTCCAAATTGGCTTTTTGCCGGCCCTGTGACCTTGGGCAGGTCACGGCTCTGGGCTTCAGTTCTCTTGTCTGAAAGCTGGGGGATTATAAGACAGTATCCTCCTCGCAGGGGTGTAGAGTTATACCACAGGTGTTGGCATTATTGTTGAGAGGTTAGGAGCTGAAAGGTGTGGACCTCAGATCTTGGAGTCCCATGGAGCCGGGTGCAAACAGCAGTGACTCTGGGCACTTATGCTGAATTGATTCTCCCATGTGTGAGATGGGGAAAAGGAAGCACGTTCCTCACAGGGCGGCTGTGGAGATGAAAGACCAGCCGTCGCAGGCTGCCCAGCCAGCCCCAGGGTCAGGGCCTAGCAAATGTCACTGTCTGACACACATGCTCGGGCCAAGCCTGTGATTTGTTTAAATTGTGGGCAAAGTTCCCACAGTAGGTTTTCTTCTGGTCCCTCACCGAAATGTCTTCGAGCTTGCGAGAGGGACAGGACTGGGTGGAGTTGAGAGGGCTGCTTCTGCCAGAGGTTCAGGGGGAAGGCCAGTTGGGAGGGAGGGTGACAGGAGATGTGGGTCCCTGCTCGGCCATGTCTGATCTCACACATTCTTGACTTCTCAGGCCTCAGTTCCCCATCTGTAAAATGGACAGAACGTCAGGTTCCATACCTGGGTCTTGGGCTAGAGAGGGTTTCACCAGTCACCTCCAAGGGTGACTCTCGAGGTAAATAGTTTTTAGGACTCATCCTTCAGTCAATAGGTCCAAGTTCACGGGTGTGCAGCCTTGAGGTCATTGTCACCTCTCAGAAGGGCCCCATGTTTGGTTGTTGCCATCTTAAAAGTCTTAATTTTTGAACAAAGGGCTCTGCATTTTCATTTTTCACTGGTGTCCACAAATTACCTAGCCAGTCCTGTGTGTGAGGGTGTGGCAGGTACCAGAATACACTGGTGAAAAAAGGTTGACATAATCTCTGTCCTAATGGAGTTTAAAGTTAAGAGCACTGTAGTGGTTTGAACAATGGCCCTCCAAAAAAGATACACCAATGTCCTAACCCCAGGCCGCTATGAATGCGACCTCATTTGGAAATAGGACCTTTACAGACATTATTAAGTTAAGGAATCCAGGCGAGGTCATCCTGGATTTAGGGTGGGCCCTAAATCCAATGACTGATGTTCTTTCAAGAAAAAAGAGAGGTAGATTGGAGACACAGACAGAGGGAAAGGCAGAGGCAGAGACCCGAGTGACGTGTCTACAAGCTGAGGAAAGCCGAAGACTGCCAGCAGCCACCAGAAGCTGAGAGAAATTCACAGCATGGATACTTTCCCAGAGAGGAACCAGCTCTGCCGACACCTTGATCTTGAACTTTTGGCTTCCAAGACTGTGAGAAAATAAATTTTTGTTGTTTTAGGGCACCAAGATTGTGGCGATTTGTTATAGCAGCTGCAGAAAACTGATCCAAGACTAGGTAGACATTGATCGATTCATCACATAAACAAATGTGAAATTGCTAGTGTGACAAGGGAGGTGCAGGGTGCCTGGGCTGGGAAACGGTTCTCTGGGACTTGAAACCTGAGAAGGAGTTAATTTATGGGGCAGGA